TTTTACCACTTTTTAAAAAAGTAGCAGTGTTATATACCCAAAACTATTGAATTGTGCTTTAAATGGGTGAATAGGGTATGTGAATTGTATCTCAATAAAGCTGTTTATAAAAAAGCACAACTTTTCAATTGTTGTGATCATATGCTACGAGAGTTTTTTACCCTGTTGTATTAGTTTGCTAGGGCTCCTGTTACAAATTACCACAAACTGGCTGGCTCAAAAAGCAAGAATTTATTGTCTTAATTATGATGGCTGTAAGTCCGAAAGCAAGGTGTTGGCAGAGGTGCCTTCTGATGGTTTGCTGGCAGTCTTTAGCACTCCTTGGTTTGCAGGTGTGTCACCCCAATTGCCTTAATCTTCACATGGTGTCTCCCTCTATGCGTGACTCTGAGTCCAAACCACTTCTGTTTCTAAGGACGCAGTCATATTGGATTAGAACCCACCCTGCTGACCTCATTTAAGTTGATTACCTCTGTAAAAACCCTCTTTTTCTTTTCTTTTTTTCCGGTCTTATTGAAGTATAATTGACAAATAAAAATTATGTATATTTAAGGTGTAAAACGTGACATTTACATATACATATGCATTGTGAAATGTTTACCACAATCAAGCTAATGAATATGTCTATCGCCACACTCAGTTATCTTTTTTCTTTTTCTTTCTATTTTTTGCTGAGGACAATTAAGATCCCCTCTCAGCAAATTTTAAGTATACACCACAATATTGTTAACTGTAGTTCGCTTCCTTTACATTAGATCTCCAGAATTTATTCATTCTACATAATCTGAAGTTTTGTACCCTTTGACCAATGTTTCTCCATTTCCTGCAAAGCCCTAGCCCTTGGGACCCACTATTCTACTCTGCTTTTAAGAGTTTGACTTTTTTAGATTCCGCATGTAAGTCAGATCGTGCAGTATTTAGGACCCTATCCTTTTCTTTTTAGTGAGGAAGATTGGTCCTAAGCTGACATCTGTTGCTAATCTTCCTCTTTTTTTGTTGTTTCCTCCCCAAAGCCCCAGTACATAGTTGTATATCCTAGATGTAAGTCATTCTAGTTCTTCTGTGTGGGACACCGCCACAGCATGGCTTGATGAGTGGTGTGTAGGTCCATGCCCAGGATCTGAACTGGAAAACCCCAGGCTGCCAAAGCGGAGCATGTGATCTTAATCACTCGACCACAGGGTCGGCCCCTAATACTCTGTTTTTAAAAATGGTCACGTTCTGAGGTATTGGTGGTTACTGCTTCAACATATGAATTTTTTAAATTATTATTTATTTTTTTTTTGGTGAGGAAGATTTGCCCTGAGCCAACATCTGTGCCAATCCTTCTCTATTTTGTATATGGGCAGCCCCACAGCATGGCTTGATGAGTGGCGTAGGTCTGCACCCACAGTCTGAACCTGCAAACCCAGGGCACTGAAATGGGATGTACCAAACCCAGCCACTACACCATCAGGCCAGCCCCCAACCTGTGAATTTTGGGGGGACACAATTCAAACTTTAACACGTGTATTTTTGACTTGAGAGTGTGTTATATTCGTTTTTACTCCTTCTTATATTATTGTCACGTGTAATTTTAATGATTATAGAAGAATATCCACTTATCCAATTCCCTACTATTAAATATATGCTTTTCGCTTTTGCAATATTGTAATTACCATGAACACCTTTATGCACTACTTTCTCAGTATCGTTTTCTTAGAACACATACCTAGAAATGGAATTCTCAGATCATTTTAAGACACTTGTTACATGCCACAAATCTTTGCAGTATGAAAGTCATTTCTTGCCTCATTAGTAGATTGTTAGTCATATTTTCTCCTTGTGGATTATCTCTTTGTCATTTGCCCATTTAATTTTGTAATCTTAATGTTTTTCTTAGCAATTCATATAAACTCTTTGCATAGTGAAAATTGTACTTTTTCTTATATTTTCTTCAACTATTTTACCAATTTATCATTTGCACTTTAATTTTGGAGAAGATTTGTTTTAACTTTCCTTGCTGTTTCTTCTATTGCTTCAAAGCTTGGCTTGTCCTTTTTTCTGAATTTGCTAAGTATGTAATTCTGCTTTTTCCTGGTTGTTTCTATTTGGTCCAAAAATATTTAACTAATCCATTTGGAATTTGTTTTGCCAAATGGTATGATGTGAGAATCATTTTGTTCTTTTATTGCTAGCTGGGGGTTCCAATTCCATTAATTAACCACTGCCTTCCTCAGTGATTGAAGATGTCTTGTATATTGAATTAAATTATTTTTGGGTGGAAATATGTTATACTCATGCTTATTAAAGATTTATAGTGTATTTTTATCTGAAAAGAATATTCTCTCCCCTTCTGTACTCTTCTTCCTTTTTCAGGATTTTCTCTGGTATTTTTGCCAGTTTATTTTTGCCTATGTACTAGGAACATTTGCCTCCATCCCACACCCCTGCACTACCTCCCACACTTAAAAATTTTTTTATTAGATTTACAAGGAAGATACTTTGAGAAATATTGAATACATGTACTTTTAATCTTCTCTTCCAAGTACTTGGTATTTCTCTATATTGTTTCAAGTCTTCTTTTGTATCTTTTCTAAAGACTTGTAGTTTTTTCATATAATTCAGACAAATTATTCACTATTTGTGTGTGTGTGTGAGGAAGATTGGCCCTGAGCTGACATCTGTGGCCAATCTTCCCCTTTTTGCTTGAGGAAGATTGTTGCTGAGCTAACACCTGTGCCAGTCTTCCTCTATTTTATGTGGAATGCCGCAACCGCGTGGCTTGATGAGCAGTGCTAGGTCCATGACTGGGATCCGAACCTGCAAACCCTGGGCCACCTAAGTGGAGGGCGCAGACTTAACTACTGCACCACTGGGCTGGCCCTATTATTCACTATTATTGGTTCTCATATGTGTGTGTGTTAGTTTCTGGTGATTTTTGTTTGATCATTTCTGCTGCTAACAATGAACTTTTTCCTGTGTTTTCTCGTTGCATATTCTGCTGTCTAGAAGTACTGTTGTCTGTGTTTTACATGCTGTTGTTTTACTCAACTTTATTGGTTCTAACACTTTTCAGTGGATTCATTTGCATTTTCTGGATGAACAGTTATGTTAAATGGAAATGATAATTATCACTTTTCTTCTAATATTCTTTTCTTGTGACTATTTCACATATTACTTGGTCAGACTAAATATCTGAAAACTAATACAAAGTAAGAGAGATAATGGAAAACATCCTTTTTGTTGTTACTATTCCTGAATGTATTGTATGCACTTCTGGTTTTTCAGCAGTAAGTATTATCTGTTTTTAATAACGTGAAATGGCTACTTTTTAAGTTGGGAGAATTACTGTGCTGTCTTTTTGTTCGTGTTATTGTGGGACTTTGGGTAGTATTTGGAATTGGTATTGGATTTTATCAAATACTTTTAGGCAGGGGTACCTACTGAGATTATCATGTGGGTTTATTTTAACCTGTTAAAATAATGTAATTTTTGCACATTTATTAATGTTTGCTAATAATAAATCACCTTCAATACCTGCAATAAAACATATTCTTTTGTGGTAGATTGTTCTTTTTACAAATGATTGAATTTTGTCAGCATTTTGTTTGGCTTTTTTACGTCCTTGTCAATAAGTGACATAAGTCTATAACTTCTTTTGGTGGTATCTTTGTTAGGGTTTGATTTCAGGGTAATTTTTACTTGAAACTTGTAGTGCATGATGTTGCTATCCCAACAGCCAAGCTATAGTAAACAGAACAGGAAACTAAAGTGTTCTTTAGGTGATTAGAGAAATGAAAGAGTAGTGTAGGTCAGTGGTCAGTGCTGCAGATGTCCATTGAGGCTCATTTTCATGGAGATGCGTGAGATTAAGAATCTGACTTGGTGTGGCTCTTCCTAGTTTCAGCAGAGCTTGTGTGCCAGGCTGCCTCAGAAACTACTGGGCGGTCTGGGTCTTGCATGTGGTGGGCACTTCATAAGTAGTCTTCGGATAAACGGGTGACTATTACAGTGGATATCCCAGAGACATTTCTCAAGCCCGCATTGATGCCTTTGGTTTTTTAAAAATTGTATACCCAAATGTGAAGAAGCCAGCGTAGTTTCCTTTTGACTTTAAATCGACCACTGTTACCAGTTTTTTTGGCTTTAATACTGGCTTCAGAAAAGGACACAGCATCCTCCAGAGGATTTCTTGTTGTCATTAAACATAAGCCTGTAGCTTCTTTGGGTTTTGAAAGTTTTATTGTCGATCATGTGGGAAAATAAGTAACATGTGACAAAGTAATAGAAAAGTTACAAAGCTCTGCAATTCTTACAGTCCTAATCTCTGTCTGTAAGTTTCTGTTTACCCTTTAGCTGTTACCTGGAAGAACCTTCAGACTTTACATTATCCTTTCTTCCTTATTACTGAGAGTATATTTCAACCTAATTTCTGAAAAGATGACTTTTGACCAAATTTCTCCTTAATGCCGTCCCTAAATGGGAAGAGACCTATCCTGTTCTTTAGAGTGGGTCTGAAGGTGTCAGATAGACCTGTGTCGTTTCTCCCTGGACCATTGAAGAAGCCCCTGCTCTTCTCTCTGTGTGCATTCTAGCTCTACCATCCTCTCCCCTGCACGTGTATTTATGATCTCTTATTGGTCCCATGTCAGAAACAGGATGCAGGTAGATGTTTCCCTCACTCCATACACCAACAATAATTGTATATAAATTAGAAATTAAATGTAAAAACAAATAGTTATATAAGTACCGGCAGGAAGTACAGATGAATACGTAATCTTGGCGTGAAGAAGACTGTAAAATACGACAGCCATGAAGGGAAATACACTGAGAAGAATATTGGCAACACAGGACAGGCGAAAGGGTAATAGCCTTAGTAAAGAAAAGGTTATTTTTATGTGATAATATAAAAAATAATATTCAGTTATATGACAGTACTTTATATTATAGGAAGAAGGTATTATTTGCTCTGTTGTTATTCTTATAGAGAAACTAATCTTTTGTTAATACTTCTATAGCAAAAACAGATTAGTTACTCACCAGGAGTATGCAGCATAGAGCATCAGCAAGAGATAACCAAACTAAAGACTGATTTGGAAAAGAAAAGTATCTTTTATGAAGAAGAATTGTCTAAAAGAGAAGGAATACATGCAAATGAAATCAAAAATCTGAAGAAAGAACTGCACGATTCAGAAGGCCAGCAACTTGCTCTCAACAAAGAAATTATGATTTTGAAAGACAAGTTGGAAAAAAACAGGAGAGAGAGGTAAGAATCAAGTTATTTACTCCTCTAATAAATATTTATTAATTGCCTGTTAGTGTCAGGGACTAGACATGCGTAGGCAGTCAGCGTATCCCAGTCCTCAAGGAGACCAAAGTCAAGGTTGCTAAATAGAAAATTGCAATACAGTATGATGGGAAAGCCAGTGGGTAAGTATAGGAACACCCATAGCAGAGGCATGAGAGAGAACTTTGCTATGTCTAGGTTTTTTGGACAAAATTATTTCTAAGTTAAGATCAAATAAATAAATACGTAAGAGTGTCCAGGCAGAGGTAGCAGGATGTGCTGAGATCTAGAGGAAAAGAGGAGCATGGCCCATTCAGAAAATGAAATCTGTAAATTATGTGGAAGCATAAGAAGAAAGATTAGCGTGGTGAAAAATGAGACTGGCAAGGAAAACAGAGGCAACATCATAAATGAGTATAAAGAATTTAAACTTTATTCTAAGGCCGTGGAAGGAAAATGACATGATTACGTTTATATTTTTGAAAGATTGCTCTTGCTACCGTGTGGAGAATGGATTGGAAGGAGCTGAATATAGATAGGAATCTGACTGTGAGAGATGAGGTAGCTGGACCTTAGGTAGTGAGAGGGAAGATGGAGAGAAGCGTGTGGATTCAGAAGGTCTACTGAGAAGACAGAACCTGGATGACATCGTGACCAGATGTGAGAAATGAGGAGCAGGAGAAATTATCAGTGATACTCAGGTTTCTAGATTTTAGGCAACTGAATGTATGTTACTGTCATTCCCAACTTACATTGGAAGACTAAGTTTATTCAGTTTGGTATATTCATTCAACAAATGTTTAGAACCTACTATGTGTAAGGCATTATTGTAGGCACTGGGAACACAGCAGTGAACAGACAGAAAGTTTGTCCTTATGGAGCTTTCCTTTAGTTGTGGTGAAAGACTGTGAACAAAATAAGCAAAATATAGAATATAGTAGATAATGTAAATGTCAGGAACAAAAAATAAGTCAGAGGATGGGGGCTATGAAGCATTAAGGGGGAGGGCTAAATTATATATATAGGCTGGCCAGAGAAAATTATACTGAGAAGGTGACTTCTAAGTAAGAACTGGATAAAATGTATGTATACAAATGTATGAGAAGAACATTCTACGGAGAAGAACCAGTCTGTTAAAAAAATAACGAGAAGGTGAAACTGTAGAGATAGTAAAAAGATCAGCGGTTTCCAGGGGTTGGGGGTAGGGTGGCACAAATACGCAGAGCACAGAGGATTTTTAGGGCAGTGAGACTGCTCTGTATGATACGATAATGGTATAGTACACATGACATTGTAGGACATATAGGACACATGTCATTATACCTTTGTCCGAACTCTGAAGTGTACAACACCAAGAGTGACCCCGGATGTAAACTCTGGAGTTTGAGTGATGACCATGTGTCAGTGCAGGTTCATTGACTGTAGCAAGCTTACCACCCTTGTGGGGGATGTTGATATGGGGAGGCTGCGCCTCGGGGCAAAGGGTGTATGGGAAATCTCTGTACTTTCCTCTCAATATTGCTGTGAACCTAAAACTTTTCTTAAAAATAAAGTCTATTAAAAATAATAAGGAGGCCAGTGTGGCTGAAGTAGAGTTAAGGGGAAAGAATAGTAAAAGAGGAGTCTGAGAGTTAATGAAGGGTCATGTAGAACTTTGTAAATCATGTTCGGTTGACTTACAGTCTTTACTCTGAGTAAAACCATTGCAGGAAAGTATTGCAAGATTTTGAGCAAATCGACAAATGCTGAGTTATGTTTTAACAGGATTACTCTGCCTACTGGGATAAGAGTATTCTGAATTAGATAAGAGAAACAGCAGTGAAAACATTTAGAAGGCTATTGCAATAATCCACGCAAACGATGGTGATGGTTTGGGCCTAGGGTGGTGGCAGAATCGGTGGTAAGAAATGTTCAAATTCTAATGTTCTTTAAAGGTAAAGATAATGGTTTTTGCTGGTGGACTGGATATGGGGTGAGAAAGAGGAAGAATCAAGGGTGATACTAAGGTTTTTGGCCTTAGCAGTTAGAAGAATAGAGTTACCATTTAGAGAGGAAGACTACAGGAGAAGCAAGTTTGGGATGAGAGTATTATCAGGAGCTCATTTTAAACAAGTTATGTATGAGATGCTTATTGGACATCCAAGTGGAGATGTCAAGTAGGCCATGGTATAGAACAGCTGGATTTCAGGGCTAGAGATAAAATCCTGGGAGTGTTTATCACTCACATGATATTAAAGTGGTAAGACTGAGATCACTTAGCCAATGAGTGTGGATAGAAGAGAGGTCCTAGGACTGAGTCCTGGGGCACGCCAATCTTTACAAGTTGGGAAATAAGGAAGAAACAGCAAAGTGGAAAGAGAAAGAGCCACAAGAATGATAGGAAGAAGACCAGGCAAGTTTGGTGCCTGGAAGCCATGTGATGAAAGCATATCAGCTCTGTCTACATGTGAAATGAGATGAGATCTGAATCAGATAAGATAAGGACCAAATAATGGCAGTTGACATTAACAATATGAAGGTCATTGGTGACTTTGATAAGAACAATTTGGAGGAGAGCAATTGGAGACAGAGAGTATAGATAGCACTGCTATTATTTGGAGTCTTTTATTGTAAAAGCAAGCAGTGCAAGGAGGTAGTAGCTGGAGGAGAAATTTATCTTGAAAGAAGTTATTTTGCTTTTTGTTTCTGTTTTTAGATTGGAGAAATAACACCATCCTTGTAATCTGATAGAAATTATCCAGTAGATGAGTCAGGAGAGAGAGGAGAAAAGTGCTGGGGCAGTGTACTCGAGCAGATCCATGAGTGAATGGATTGGCCTTCACTGTTTTTTACCTGCAGTAAGAGAAGAGAAGTAGAGTATATGGGCAGAGAGGAAGATGGAAAGGGGGCTGGAAACTTGTTTATGTCTTCAGCTCTCTTGAGTTGGGCATGTTGAATTTGAGCTCCTTGGGAGACATCTTTGTGGAGATGCCAAGTCAACACTTTGAAGCCCAGAAAGGCTTCAGATGTAGATTCAGAGTTCTTCAGCATAACAGATAATAATTGAAATCAGGTAGTGTAGTAGATGCGATAGCTCAGGGAAAATGTGTATAGAGCAGAGTCAAGCACCTGAGACAGACTACCTGGGAGCACTGGATTTGCGGGAAGGATGAAGGAAAGGAAGTTCACAAAGGCTGCTGAAAAGAAGTCAGAGGTGTAGGCTGACACTCAGGAGAGCGGGCATCACTGAAGCCAGGAGAAGATAGTGTTTCAAGAGGGAGGGAACGGACAAAGCTGTTGAAGGGAGCCAGTGGATTGGATGTAATAACCATTAGGACAATGGTGAGTTTTGAGAGAACGGTTTTTTTTGAGGTTGTAGCAGAAGCCAGATTTGGGTGTTGACAGTTAGATGATGATAAAGTGGATACAGCAAACTCTCGAGATTTCAAGATGATTATCAGTGAAGGGGAAGACAAGGAAAGTGGAAAATGAAGTGTGACGTGGGATTTAGGGGAGACTTTGTTTGTTTTGTTTTAATATGAGAGAGACTTAAGGTTTGTTTAATGTTAGCTAATAGGAAAAAATAGCAATGGTTTTCCGCAGAAAGTTTACTCAATTTATTCATGTACATATTTTTCTGGAAGGAGACTCGTTTGTAATTTTTCATATTTTTGTCATTGTTTATTTTTTGGGGTTGCTTCTGAATCAAGAAAGATTCTTAAACATAGCCAAATTTCACATTTTGACTATAGATGATAGGGAAAGTGGCACATTTGCTTGGACACAGGATGGTTTATTTTCCTGGAATTTATAATTTAAATTATAGTTTAATATTCAACAATTTAGTAGTCTAAGGGAGTTTTAAGATTGAATTTTTAAAAATCAACCATTACTTATGTTCTTTGTTGACTTGGAAGCAATCATAAAATTACCTAGAACTGATCCACGTTGAGTTTCACTTGCTGCTAACATTCTCCATCAGACTGCTATAGATGTAAGCCTCTTCATCCACATTCCAACCCCGTGTTCAAAACTGATTCCCTTTCTCCCATAGGAAGTTTTTAAAAAGTCTCTCAGAACTGTGTTTACCTCTAAGGGTGAATCAGTTCTGCCTCCCAGGACTGTCATTTTAAATAGGTTTTCTAATATTAAATTTGTGCATGTGTGTAGGTGGATAAATACTTAGGTAAGAATGAAGGAGAGAAGGAAGAAAGGGCTGCATATATTGAGAGAACTGGTGTAAATTAGATTGTGAATTTTGTGCAATCCAGAGCTGAGTATAAGGAATCATATTGTGGTCCATCTCTTCCTCTTTCCCTAACCTCCTCATTTCCCCATACTTTCTAGTATGTACATAAGCAAATAATCACGATGAGGAAGTCTACAAATCACAGCGGTCTTCCTCAGATTTTCAACTGGAAACAAAGTAGATGTTATTAGGCAGACAAATCTATTAATTAAAAGGAAATGATGGTGACTTAATTTTAAGGGAAAAGATTATGATTTGAAACCGTCAGATATAAGTGACTTTTCAAAATAAATTCAAATTCAGAATTCTGTGTATGGTCCAATAGCCAATCTGGGATACCATTATTTTACCTTTGGTTCAATTCCTTTTTTTCCTTTTGTGTTTTGAATTGTGTTAGTCAAAGTGAAAGGGAAGAATTTGAAAATGAGTTCAAACAACAGTATGAACGAGAAAAAGTGTTATTAACTGAAGAAAATAAAAAACTGACAAGTGAACTTGATAAGGTGAGTGATTCAATCTCATTTCTCTTTATTGAATACATGCTAAACACTCAGCACCGTGATAGAAATTGTGGATATAATTTTATATTCGTGTGCATTTTTTGTTTAACATTCCTCCTTATAGGCAAGGATTGTTTGTGTGGTACAGGCAATTTTTTATTCAACCGATCTGTACAGGAGTCTTCTGAGAGAGGATTTTGTTGATCTCATCTTATTCTTTGTCCTGCTTATTTTCTGAGCCTCTATTCTGTATTTCCCTTTCCACCTATTCTCTTTTTTACTCTTTTCTCTCGTGTTGGCACTTAATCTGTCATGGCTGGCTAAGTTCAGGCTGGCCCTTAGCAAGAGCGGGATCCGTTAGCCACACTGGAGAAATTCTGACAACTATGATGTCATATTCATGCTGGAGAACTGGTAATAGCTAGAAATAGTACCGTTGGCGGGTAAGAACCCAAAGAAACCAACTGCCTAAACTCTGTAGCTTGAAGAAAGAGCAGAACCTTAGATTAAACTTAAAAGTAGCCAGATTTATGAACAATTTCAAACACTTAAAGGAATGTTTTTCCATTTCGTATCTCAAACTTCTTGAACTGCTGTCATTTTACATTTCTTGTGTCAGCTCTTGAAACAGTTGTAAAAAATCCTAATATTAACCAGAAGATTTAATAATTTTATTTACATTTAAATAAGAAGGTTTGGATGATGGTGTTTTATAATAATTTCTAGGATTTTCCTCCAATAAAAGTATTATGTCAATTAGTTATTCCAATAACAGATTGAAAGACCATGACTAAGTCATAAAAGAGAGACTTCATTCTATTTCCGTTTTCTGTATATCTTTCTCTCACTACTTTCCCCATGATTATTTAGTTTTCTGAGCATTTAAAAATGACTTTGCTTGTTTGGTTGAAAACTACTTGAGAAAGAACTCTGTTAGTTCATTTTGTAAAGTCTTGGAAAGCTGACCTACACAAACCCTGGAAAGTGGCCAATAGTAAGTAGTACAAATGGATTTTTTAAACTATGAATAGAGTGTAAACGTTATCATATAACTCTTAGGTTATTTCCACTAAAATAAAACTAACAATATTTGAACTTTATCCAAATGGGTCACATAATTGTTATTTCATGCATTTGACTAACATCACTACAAAATTAAACATCATTTCTGTCTATAAGACAGAATTTTAAGAGTCTGTTAAGAGTTACCTTGAGGTAGGCAATATTTTTAAACTCTAGAAGCCCATTTCATGTAGAGTTTCTAAGCAAATTACCTAGTAAAAGATGGTACTATAGTTGAAGAAAAATTGTATTGGAAAATAATCAAATTGAATGTAGATTAAATCTTATATTTACTCCTTGGTTTTATTTCATTATTAACCATAAAGTTCTGCTGAGTTTACCAAAAATACATATTTAGAGATAATTTTTAAACAATACTCTTTTGATTCTGATGAGACCTGAAGGATAAAAATAAAAGCCTATCTCCTAAGTTTATAAAAATGGACCATTACCTTTTCTTGCTAAATTGAAAGATATGGTGAAGGATATGGGTGGAACTTTGAGAGCAAATTTGTATGGTTAGCAAGTGTTTTGTGAAGATGACAGAGAACTATTTATTCCCAGAGAAACAGGGAAGAATCTGGGGTTTCTACTTCCATTTGAACCTCTTCTCTATTTTTCTCCTTTTATTCAGCTTTTGCTTCTCTCACAGCTTAACTCTCAGTCCACCTAACTGCACATCTTCACTGTTTCTCCATTTAACCATCTTCTGGTTTGGTGTGAATTGAGTATTTTCCCCAAGAGGGATAACCCAAGAGTAGCATTGCCACTGGTACCCCAGCTGTTACACTGGGAACCAGCTTGGAGAGAACTGAATTCCTTCTCAACAGAGCTTCAAAGATGGAAGCCAAAAAGCAATTATTGTGTTAATTTTGAAACATATAACTCAGAGATTCTCACATTCTCATTTTTAAACTCCAAAAATAAAAATTAGAAATGAAATAGAAAAAGATATTGATATTTTCAGAAGTTTGTAAGTTCCACTTTTATTAAAAGATAATTTATTGCAAATGAAACTAGCCATATTTTCCAGGGAGTAAAAGTAAATGGTTTCTAGTAAGAAAACATATCATTTGTATCTTGTTTTAAAATTACTGTTTTCCGAAAACGGGAAATTACGAAAAATGTGGAAAATATTCAACATGAAAGTTACCCATGATCTCATCACCACAAAACAACTATTTTGATATGTTCTTTTCCAGGTTTTGTTTGTATACATGTTATTGCATAATTGCAGTCATATCTACATTCCCTTTTCTAATCTGCCTTTTCATCTAAAATGTTATGAGCATTTTCCCATATTCCCCTGTAGTCTTATAATTATTATAAGCCAGATGCCTCGATGTACAAATGGTAAAGCGTTCTCATTCCCGACACGCAAAATGAACTGTTACTTAGGCAGAATTAACTATGTGCCGATCCTCTGCTGAGTTACTTTATAGAAATCATTTAATTCTCGCAATAACTCTCTGAGGTGTACGCTATTCTCACCATTTTGTAGATGAGGAAACTGAGGCAAAGGGAGATTAAGCTACTTTCCTAATCACAGAACTAGGAAGTGGCAGAATGGGATTGGAACACAGGTAGTCTTGTTCCAAAATCTATGCTTTTGTTCAGTAATAATGAAAAGATTAACTTTTTTCTGACTAGTACTAAACAAATCTGTTTAAAACTACTTATAATGCTTGCAACATGGCAGTGGAAAATCTGCATTTCCTCCTCTTCTTGCAAATCTCCAGTTGAAACCCCAACCACAAGTCAGTTGGAAGGGCTGTCAAAAGTAATGGTAATCAATAAAGGATGTGTTTTTAGGCATTGGGGAAGACACTGCATCTGCAGAATTCTCAGAAGCAGCTGGTTGACTTCTGGCTGTGCTAACATGAAGAGATTGATGAATCCTCTCAAAAAAAAAAAGTTTCAATGTGGACACAGTGTCAAAAACAATAATTTCAGAGCTCTCAGAATTAACTAAAGGACGACAACTGCAGAACATGGCTGAGATAAATTAAGACTATGTAAACAAAGCGAGAGATATACTACATTACTGATTCAATATTGATTAGGAAGATTCAATATTGTTAGGATGGCAGTTCTCCCCTAATTGATCTATAGATTCAGGGAAATCCTTATCAATATTCTAGTAGGCCTTTTTTTTGGAATTGACAAGCTTATCCTTAAATTTATAGGGGAATACAAAAGGCCTATAATAGCCAAAATATTTGGGGGGATGGAAACAAAAGTTGGAGAATCTATCCTATGGAATTTTGAAACTTACTATAAATCAACAGTAGTCAAAAGACTGGTATTAGCATAATGGAATAAAGAGTCCAAAAATAAGCCGTCATATTTTGGTCAGTTGATTTTCAGCAAAAGTGCCAAGGCAATTCAATGAGAGAAGGATAATCTTTTCAACAAATGGTACTGGAACAATTGGCTTTCCACGTGCACAAACGCTAACTTGGATCCTTACCTCATACCATATACAAAAATTAACTCAAAGTGGATTATAAACTGAAATATAAGAGAGAAGTATAAGAGAAAAATCTTTGTAACTTGGGGTTAGTCAAAGATTTCGTAGATATGATGTTAAAAGCACAACCCATGGAATAGAATGATCTTTGATCACAAAAAAAAAAATACCTTAAGGGTACAAAAATAATAAACACATGCTTAGTCTCAAATATTTACAATCCAGTGGGAAAAGACAAATAGATAAACAATATAAAAGAGAATGAAATGTTAAACAACACCAAATATTGTGGAAATGGTTAAAAAAAAATTTTCTTTGACGTATTTGACCAAGTATTCACAGAGAAGGCAGCATTTGAGCTAACTCTTGAAGGAAACAGGAGGAAAGATATTTTTCAGGCTCAGCTAACAATGGTACAGAGACACAGAGGTACAGAGAATTGACAATGTATTTCACATTATATGAGGTATGAAAGATTGCGTATGATCAGAATTTAGTATGCGTGGATGGTTAGAGAGAGGGCCATAGAGAGGGAGAACAGATCCTGAAGGGATTTGACAAAAACTATTCAGAAGATACACTTATGGTATAAACTATAACTATGTCGGTACTGTTAATAAACAAAGGAAGAGAAAGATACTACAGAATTTTAAAGAATAGGGATTAGAGGCAGACAATATAGTAGGAAAGTATCAGGATTTAGAATTAAATATAGATCTGGGCTAGAATCCCAGCTCTATCACTTACTAACAATAACCTTTTTCTAAATTGCAATTTCCATATTTGTCAAATGGAGATAATACGTCATTACTGCAATAAAACCTTAATATGATGGGGGGAAAAAAAAAGCACAACCCATGAGAGAAAAATAATGATAATTTGGACTTCATCAAAATTTAAAGACAACATTAAGAAAATGAAGAGACATACAGAGATGAGGAGGAAACACTTTCAAATCATTTATCCGATAACAGACATGTTCTAAATATAGAAAGAACTCTTAAACTCAATAATAAGAAGTAATGCAAACAACCCAATGAAAAAATGGGAAAAAAAATTGAATAGACACTTTATGAAAGAAGATATATGAATAACAAGCACATGAAAAGATGTTCAGTATCATTAGTCATTAGGAAAATGCAAGTTAAAACAATGGTAAGATACAGCTATGTGCTCTCAAGGATGAATATAATCAGTAAGAGTGGCCATACCAACTGTTCCAAGAATGTGGAGGAAGTAAAACTCATATACTGCTTGTAGGAGTATAAGATGCTATAGCCTCTTTGGAAAATAGTTTCAAAATTTCTCAAAAAGTTAAGCATACACTTAATCATATAACTCAGAAATTCTCCTAGATATTTATCCAAAAGAATTGAAAACCTATCCCCTTGAGGACTTGTATATGAATGTTCATAGCATCATTTTCATAATAGCAAACAACTGGAAATGATACAAATGTCCATCAACTAGTGAATGGATAAATAAAGATACTAATATCCATATAATAGAATTACTACTAATTGTAAAAAGGAATGAATTTCTGAAACATGGAAAATCATGACTGAACCTCACTAATATAAGTGAAAGAAGCTTGATACGAAAAAGTACATATTGTATGATTTCATTGATATTAAATTTCTAGAAAAAAGCGAAACTATAGAGAGAAAACAAGTCAGTGATGCCTGGAACACTGGATGGGAGCCAGGCTGGACTGCAAACCAGCAGGGGGGAATTTCTCAGATATTGGAAGTGTTCCCAAAGTGGATTGTGGTGATTGTTGCAAAACTGTTTAAATTTTCCAAAAAGCATCAAACCATACACTTATAATGGGTTAACTTAATAGTATGTAAGTTATACCTCAATAAAGCTGTAAAAAGAAAATAGCTGGTAAAATACACTTTCAGAGATAAACGGCACACCCTGAGATAGAAACCTTAAATCCTGTGTTCTTAATAGGTGGATAAGGGTGTGTGTTGGCCATGATTTCTCTGGGCCCCATTTCCTTCTGAGAAGTGAGGTTGAAGGGAACAGTAATTTCTAATGGCAGATTGAGACCATTTATCAGAAAAATGTAGCCATGAAATAAAAATTGTATGCAAATATTTTATCATGAATTTTAAAAAACTTAATAAAGGGCTGGCCCAGTGGTATAGTGGTTAAGTTCATGTGCTCCACTTCACTGGCCTGGGGTTCACAGGTTTGGATCCCAGGCGCAGACCTACGCACCACTCATCAAGGCATGCTGTGGTGGCATCCCACATACAAAAAATAGAAAAAGATTGACACAGATGTTAGCTGAGTGACAATCTTCCTCACCAAATAAATTAGTAAATAAATAAATAAAGACTTTATCAAAAAAAACTTAGTAAAGCAAGAACTTTTGCTTATGACTATGACAGATTAGCTTATACTGTACCCACCACCTCATCAAGAAGAGCTATAAAGCTGGATTAAAAAAAAATTTTTTTTAATAGTATAGGAATCCTTTCTACAGTATTCATCTGCAGGAAGGCATTGGAGAAATAAGAGAGCGGGCAAGACTTTACTGACCAAGATCCTATGGAGAGGAGTAGTGCAAAGAGACAAGCCCAATAGTCAGGGCCACTTTTCTTCTTGAGGCATTTGCCGATAGGAAAAGCTATGAATCCAGGAAGCTGAGCACAATATTCCGCAGTCTCACCAGTTTGGAGAGAGAAAAACTGAATATAAGTGTCCACCCAGGTGCAGGATCCTTAGTAATCAATTCAGCCTTTCAACTGGACTCATCAAAAGGCTACATTTTAGGAATAAGGGTGAACCAGAAAGAGATGGGACCTCTCGATGACTGAAACCCGGCCTCTAAGTAATTAAATTCATAATCTATCTATAGTCTTGCCTGCCAGAAGTAAAAGTAAATACTCTCTGGAGGCAGATACTATACAGAGCCTCAAATTATCTCTAAAATTTTCATATACATTGTGTGGCATGCAGCAAAAAATTACCATGCCTTCCAGGGGATACAACCAAGTCACTGAAAATCAAGAGAAAAAATATAATGGCAAAAACAAAATAAGAAAAAATGAAAAGAAAATCAGGCACTCAGGATAAACAGACCCATAGGAGTTCCCAGTATTGGAATTTTCATAAGTGAACTTTAACTGTATGATATGTTTAATGGAAGACGTGATGAAGAATTTCAGCAGACAACTTAGAATCTATACAAAAGGGTAAAATGGAATTTCTAGAAGTGAAAAATAAAATAACTGAAATACCCAATAGAAAATTTTAACAGCAAATTGGAAAGAGCCAAAGAAAGGATTAGGCATGTAATATTTCCAGACCAAAGTATGGATGGAGATTTCAAAGGATGGAAATACATAAAAGAGTATATGAGACATAGGGGACACGAGGAAAAGATCTGACATACAAATGTTGCTTTCCAAGAAGGAGAAGAGAGAGAGTGTGTGACAGAAGCAATATTTGAAGAGTTAATGGCCTGTAATTTTCCAAAAAATATGAAAAACATTTAGCCACAAATTCAAGAAATGCCACAAACCCTAAAGGTGATAAATAGAAATTAAACCCCATTAGGCACATCATAGAAAAACTGCTGAACCAACAACCAAAGAAAATCCCAGAAGCAGCCAGAGAAGAAAGACACATTATATTCAAAAGAGCAAAAGTTCAACTGAAAGCAGACTTCCCAACAGAAAAACTGGAATCCAGAATAAAAAGGAATGACATCTTCAGAGTGCTAAAGGAAAATGACTGCCAGAATGTTATAAACAGCAAAAAAAACTTTCAAAAATCAAGACAGAAATTCACACTATAGAAAACTCTACAGGACAAAGAACCTACTTTTTTCAACAAATAAATTGCAAGAGAAATAAAAGTGTTGGAGGGGAGCCACTGTATACTGAATGTTTGTGACCCTCCGAGATTCCCAGCTTGAAATCCAACCCCCAACGTGATGGTATTGGGGGTGCAGCCTTTGAGAGGTGATTAAGTCACGAAGCTAGAGCCCTCAGGAGTGGGATTAGTGTTCTTATAGCACCCCTTGCACCACGTGAGGACACAGCCGAAGATGGCCAGTTGTGAACCAGGAAGCAGGCCCTCACCAGACACCGAATCTGCTGGCGCCTTGTTTTGGACTGCCCAGACTCCAGAACTGGGAGAAATAAATGCTTCTTGTTTAAACCACCCAATCTGTAATATTCTATTAAAGCAGCCCTAAAGGACTAAGACAGGAGCCTGTAAATGAGAGACTTAAAAGATATCGCAACCATCAAGCTATGTTTACTTATTGGTATCATGATTCAATTTAACAGACTTAAGTTTTTGATATTTTGAGGTAACTAAATTTGAACAATTAATACTGATGTGAAGATATAAGGAAACCTGTTAAATTTGTTTAAGTAGGATAATGATTTTTTATTATATGTAAAAAGAGAGAGCCTTTTTTTCTAGAGATATACGCAGAAGTATAAATGGGTAAAATTCTATGATATCTGGTATTTGGTTCAGAATAATATAGGCAGAAGGGGAAAGACAGCAATACAAATGAAATAAGATTGACAGGGAGGTGATAATTGTTGACATTGGGTGATGGGCTGATGGGAGTTCACTTGTACTCATCCACTTTTGTATATGCTTGAAATTCTTTTTAAGTTTAAAAAGAAGGATGACGAAGAGACATTTCAGACAAAAAACAGATGTTACCAGTTGAACTGGGGAGTTCTTCAGGCAAATGGAGAACATTCACAATGGTACTGATTTAGTGTAGGGCGTAAGGGAAAAGCGAAGACAGAAGGAGAATTCAGAGTACTCAACGTTTCCAAATTCAGTGACCAGAAGGGTGCGTAATAATAAGAAATCAGGAAGACAAGCATTTTTTAGTGGAATGTGATGAGTTCTCAGATTTGACAGGAGGCATCTAAGCACCTGGAACTCCTGCTCCTAAAAGTTCCACGTGTGTTAAGTGTCTTAAAACTGCCTTTCAGCTTACCACGTTGTATGAGAACTTAAGTGTACACAACCAGCAGTTAGAGGAAGAGGTGAAAGATCTAGCAGACAAGAGAGAATCCGTTGCACACTGGGAAGCCCAGATCACAGAAATCATTCAGTGGTGAGTACTCGTTTAAATGTGTTTTTGTGGGTGATTTTGGACATACCATCTAATTGGTATCAATTCCACGAGGCTACTAGCATATTCTTTATCTTATTTCTTGTTGTGAAAAATGTTTCTCTGAAAAGCATAATTTTATTTCTGATCTGTTATTTATTACTAATCTGTATTGTTTTGTGTTTTCTATGTTCCTCTGTTCCCTAACTCCAACAAATACCCCGTATCAGCTTTTACATAGCTTCCTTGAAAACTGATATTTCTAAGAAAAGAAAATGTTATTCTCCCCTAAGACAGTTAGTCCTTAAAGAGCTGAGGAAACTCATTCACTAGCTGTAGATGTTCCTTTCTAGGATCAAAATTGCTGTATTTGTGATTATTTTAAGGAACAGAAAGCCTGGAGAGAAACTTAGAAGCTGAAGATGTCACGCCATCACTTCTGTCATAGTTATAACAGGTTGATTCACACGTGGCATTCTAAAAACCTTAAATGGTTAAAGTTTAGTTTTATCACTGTTCTTTAAGCTCCTAGGATTTAATTTAGAATAATTGCCTTAGTAACTTTTATGTTAATTTATTCGTTAAATGATTTTTCTGGTAATTTGTAAAAATTTGTCTGTAATACATGAAGAAAGTAGAATCCAACAAGGGCTTTATTTTCTAATGAAAATAGGTAGCTTAACTTTTTATATTTACTTTTTAACTTTTTGACTCTTTTTGGCATATCATGGATGTGTAATTTATATAAAAACAACTAGTTTCTTCATATATCCATAGACCACTCATTTGGTGGGAATTTTAGTTTCTTGTGCTCTTATTTTGGTTCTTTAAGCATTTTTTCCATTTTCTACTTATGCCAGATTAATATCCTCCTTCTTGAATACAATCAAAAGTGAATAAACACTGTCTTTTTAAGTAATCTTACCCAAATGACTCAAGTATTTTGATATTGGCTTAGCAATAGAGCCCTTACGTTAACTCATCTTTGGCTTATGAATGTGACAATTCAGTGCATATCTAAAGGGTGATGCTCAACTTGTGGAAATTTGGCTGTGTTCCAAACAGTACAGTTAATAGTTCATTGATGTTTAATTTACATCCTTGTCATCAGATCTGCATTTCTGAAGCAAAATCATTTTAATCTTTAGCCAAACTTATAATATCAAAAATTATGACTCTTCATTTGTAACTCCACTGTTATGTGATCCAATTTATATTTGAGATGTTGCTGAAAATGACTCTACAGAAGACAAAGCTGATCTGGCCAAAGCCTGAGACCCTAGACACTGATCTTTTCTGGTGACTGGCACGATGGATTTAGATGGAGTGAGAAGTGGTTTGGGTAAAGGAAGGAAGCTTTAAATGTGGACTCTCTGGAAAGGGTTAGGAGAAAGGATGATGGTGAAAGTTCTTTTATGATACTACAAAACACTCATTTTACACTTTTCACGTTGAAGTGAAATGCAGAAGAAATCAGGAATGTAAGGAAGTCACTTTTCATAAAAGCTGTTATTTAGAAATGGACTAATACATTAGAACAAATTATTAAATACCTAATTGGCTGAAAGTACAAGATATACTCCGTGTACTCAGGGTTCTCACCTGCTTGAAAGTTAACTCTGGGGAAAGGTCAAGAGTCTCAGGCTATTTCCAGAGTTTTAGTTTGGTATATTAAAAAATGAAGTAATGCCAAAACAAGATTTAGAAACCTGTGATGTACAGTATTTTAAATGTTTCCATTGGACAAATAAACAGTTTTAAATCAAAACAAACACTATTGTATATAAGACCTCATTTGAGCGGCCCTCTTACTCTGCTGCCTCTGCCTTCTCCTGTGAAATATCCATTTCATTTGAAAGAAACCCTTTTAGGGCCAGGAGGCCCTATTGCTCATCACTGTGTTAGAGCAGGGACCTTTCTTCTCACCACTGGCTCATTAGGAGACTTCACTCTTTCTCTTTGAAATGGTATTACAAAGAGAGGCTGGTGTAATAGGCTGGCCCACAGGATTCATTTTTCAAATGTCCCTCCTCACATTTACAGTGCTCTTGTGGCACAATAGGAGATAGAAGGGTTTATAAAATGTAGTACTTTGTCTTCAAGTAGCTTATAACGTAAAACTTAACAGTTTAAAAACTAATGTGACCAGAGCTAGAGATAAGTTACAAAACTTAAATCAAAATGGCCTTATGTATTGTACAAATACTGACTTTTCTATAGGAGTGTAGAGGAGAGAGAATTACCTCTGGGTGCTCAAGAAAGTTGGGGGTGTAATCAGTTGAACCATAATGTGTTTTCTGAAAATAAGGAATTTAATAGAGTCCTACACCTAATTTGACCCAATTGGAGAATTCTTGTAAAAGAATAGTAGAAAATAACACCAATAAAGTTACTGCATTGCAGTTACCATGTATACTAAGAATTTGAACTTTGTTTATTTATAGAAAGGAGAAGTTTTTTGCAAAGGATAATGGCATTGATTAAAATGATGCATTAGGAAGATGACTCTTCACAGTGGTGTTCAGGATGAAATAGAAGGAAATTGGGGGAAAATTGAGCAAATGGAGAAGACATTATAGAAGAAGAAACTATAGGACTTTAATTATAAATGAAGGGCAAGAGGTGAGGAATTAATATTTCTCAAACTCTGAGTTGGAGAGATTAAGAAAATGATGATATCATTGAAGTAGGAAAGTCAGGAGAAGGAACCAACTTTGGGGAAGATGATATAATCAATTTTAGCTGTTCTTTTATTTTGTCTGTTGGTGAGTCTAAGGTCATCTGAGACATCTGAGTGGAGATTTCCAATATGCTTTTGAAAAGATGACATAAAGGTTAGGACTATAAGTATAAATTGGGGGACTTAATTTCTGGCAAATAAGGTCATTGAAGTTGTTGAGACCTTTTTAAAGAGAAAAGAAGGATAATGATGAGTGCGACATAGTAGAGGAGAGAGGAAACAGCTGTGTAAGACAACCCGGAAAATGTTTTAATGATTAAGGAAGGGTTTCACTAATGTAGCATTTATTTCACTTTATTTAAATTCACTCACATTATTTGAAATACTCCTCATTCGTTAGTCTTCGTTTGTAGCTTATATTGATTAAAACATAGTATGTTCCAGGCGTTGGACCGAAAATTCACATGCATTCTCAGCTATCACCACAGTCCTGTGAGGTAGGTAGTATTATTCTCATTTTATGGGTGAGATAACAGAGAGTTAGAGGGGGTAAATGGTTAATCCAGTCACACAGCTGGCAAGCAACCAGCTAGGATTTGAACCCATTCCCGCTTGACTCAAGAATCAAGTTCCTAAGCACTCCACTGTGTGTCTCCTAACTCCCCAACTTTGTAAGCACCATGTCTTCTATAGCTGCTTCTGTCTTCCTAATATGCCCAATGTAATAGTCAGTACTTAATAAATATTTCTTGATTAATTATTTCAAAAAACTTGAGAGGATTAGATATGCCAAAAGAACAAAATAGATCTAAATTGACATTTTGTAGTTGAGTAGTTATTTTAATAGACTAGTTTCGACAAAGTAGTTGAGGCGGAAATCAGATGGCAGAGAGTATGTAGGAGCGAGTGAAGGGTTCAACACTAGAAGATATAAGTTGTATGAGAATGAGAGGGAGAGAGAAAAAGGACCTAGGGGTTGGGGCAGCTAGGATAGGGAACTTTTTGGATTAGAAAAGATCTATACATGTTTAAAGGAACCAGTGGAAATAATGAAATTGCATATGTTAGATGTGGTAGAGAAGATAATTATCTGTATGTAGTAATAATAACTATGGGATTAGGGATACATTTAAATGACTTAACCATAGAAAAGATGAGAGACTTACCTTTCAAACTGTTGAAACTAAAAAAAAAGGTTAAGAGAATGAATATGCATAAACTTAAACAGATGGCCTAGAAGAAAGGACAGGACATAGTGTTGGGGCTGGGAAAGGGAGATTTTTTTAGAGATAAAGGTTGGAAAGAGACAAATAGCAATGACTATGAGAAAGAATTGTGGAACTCAAATGGCATGAGTTTGTAGCTGACCAAGTCTTTTCTTTTTCTATGCTTCCCACCAGTGGTTTTCTGTGCCGAGAAAATAGACGTGGGTTTCATCAAACGTTGGGAATTAGTGGAGACCACAGTGGTAGGGGATGTGAATATTCAGCATGTAAAAGGAAAGTTAGAAGAGAGTGCTTGTATATAAAATTTCAGACAAAATAAAAGTGATTTACAAGAAGTTATTTCCTTTCCAAAGTTAATAAAACTCATTGGACCTCACAGCTTCCCGGAAATGTACATAAGCCAAGATCTCTGAGCTGTGGTAGATACCAAACCAGCACTAGTTGAGGCCGATTAGCCTGGCTGTTTAAATGATGATATAGTTTTCTTCATTGTTACTATGTGATTTTCATTGTATTCTTAAAACAATAGTCTTTCTCCATCTCGGTTTGTTTATTTATTTATTTATTTATAGTTTTATTTTTATTGAAGTATGATTGACATACAATATTAGTTTCAGGTATACAACATAGTGATGCAACATTTATTTACATTACAAAATAATCACCCTGCTAAGACTAGTAACCGTCTGTCACCATACAAAGTTATTACAATATTGCTGACTATATTCCCTGTGCTGTGTGTTACATCCCCATGACTTATTTTATGACTGGAAGTTCGTACCTCTTACCTCCTTCACTTGTTTCCGCCTTTCCCCCATGCCCCTCTCCTCTGGGAATCGCCAATGTGTTCTCTGTATCTATGAGTCTGTTTCTGTTTTGTTTTGTTTGTTCATTTGTTTGGGGTGTTTTTTAGATTCCACATATAAGTGAAGTCATAAGTATTCTTTCTCTGTCTGGCTTATTTCACTTATACTAAGAGAAATAACTCATTTATTCTTTATACTATAGAATTGATGATTAAATGAAAAGATTGTGGTCACTTGTGGTGTCCAAAGTTAAAGAATTTTAGAAGGAAACAGCCTCCCACTGCACAAACTTTCTTAATATTTCCTAAAGCCATTTTTCTTTATAAGGCAATAAAAATGTATACATTTGGATACAGCCTAAAAACTTGTAATTATCACTAGAGTGGGCAACTTCTTACAATGATTTTATTGCTTCTCTGTTTAGATTCTTTTGCTTGTCCTCCAAAACACCTCTTCATCTGAAAGAAGAAAGGACCAACCCTCTTTTAAAGGGCCTCTTTAAGATATATATGTATGATATGTTATACATATATAAAACATACATAAATTTGTATATATATGAATTTGACTTCTCGGGAGTTTAAATTTTAAAAGATGCTAAAGCCTGGGGCCGGCCCCGTAGCCGAGTGGTTAAGTTCGTGTGCTTTGCTTTGGTGGCCCAGGGTTCAACCTTTTGGATCTTGTGCATGGACCTATTCACCACTCATCAAGCCATGCTGTAGTGGCATCCCACATAGAAGAACTAGAATGACTTACATCTAGGATATACAACTGTGTGCTGGGGCTTTGGGGAGGAAAAAAAAATAGGAGGAAGATTGGCAACAGGTGTTAGCTCAGGGCCAATCTTCCTCAAAAAAAAAAAAAATAGAAAGAAAGAAAAAAGATGCTAAAGCAACACTCAAGAGTTAAACTTATCTGCTGCACACATCACAGATACATATTGATTTACCTGAAGTATACTTTCCTTATAGCTATTCAGGGGCCTTAATTTTATCTATGAAAACAACCAGCCTGTAAAAAGGCAACTAATCTTCCCCAAATTGTATTAGAATACACTTCTGAGCATTACCAATTTCAACTTCATTTTTTTTTTTTTTTTACTGAAACTGAGTTTCAGTAGACTTTAATCTTTTCTCTTTGGTATTTTATTGACCACTTTAGAAAACAGAAGAGCTTTATTACAATTTTTTTCTGACTTTTACAGAATATTTTACTTTAAACTTTCTAAATATAGTGTACTTTAGTTTTAAGAAGGGGATGTTGTATTTTCATAAGATAAAATGACAGAATCCAATTAATGAGAAATCTTAATATTCTTTAGAAATCATGTGAGTAGCTGGGTGTGTGTGTTTCATGTCCGATTAAAAGAGTATTAATTCTGTGGTCAAGGCAAAGTTTTACTAGTCTGTCAGATATGAGTAATTTGGACTTTCCTAAACATGGCCATCTTTGATTGCACATAACTGAGCAGTTCAGTAAACTGCCTCCCACCTGTTGACAGATAGTGGTACTGTGGTAGACCTTTCGAAAGAAGATATTTAAGAACATCTGTAAATTTCTAGCACTTATTTCTTTATGATACTTTAAGTAACACATATCTCACGGAAGTTTTGCTCTTTGATTAACTTTTGTACTTTATCTCTGTCTTTATATGTATATATTCTAGGGTCAGTGATGAAAAGGATGCACGAGGATATCTTCAGGCCTTAGCTTCTAAAATGACTGAAGAACTGGAAGCATTAAGAAATTCCAGCCTGGGTACACGAGCAACAGTAAGCTCTGCCATTTTGCATAGAGATTTATCATATTAGGAGGGGGAAAAAAAGACTCAAAAAACCCTATAACAAATCTGAGTATTTTCTTCAGTTCGTCTCGGCTTTAGACTGCTCTAAGGTTTTTCCTGAGAAATCAGTTAATCCATGTCTTTTCCAGGTTAGGAAATCATAACAGATAGCTGCTTAACTGCAATTTGTATGGCTAGCCATTATTGGTAATAACTATAAAAAATAAACTCATTTATATATGTCTACAATTTCTGAATTTAATGAAAAATAATATGTTTTCACAGGTAATGTTTCTGTTCTATTCTGTTACTAGAGAAAGTGCTTTTAAGGAGTTTCCAAATTCACTTGGATTACTAAATTTACATGTGGAAAATAAAATAGGATGGAGCTAAAAACACAGTCACATTTTTTCATAGGATATGCCCTGGAAAATGCGTCGTTTTGCAAAACTGGATATGTCTGCTAGACTGGAGTTGCAGTCAGCTCTGGATGCAGAAATAAGAGCCAAACAGGCCATCCAAGAAGAGCTGAACAAAGTTAAAGCATCTAACATCGTCACAGAATGGTAAGGGTGAATAATGTCATCCTGCTAGAATCATTTCTGAGTTGGTCCAACAGTTTTTGGAGAGAAATTACGTTTCATTTCCTACCTATCACTTTTGTTACAGTGATGCCGAGAAAAAATTTTGATGGGATTTTAAATACAGCCTTGTTTTCCTCTGACTTATCCATAATGTGGAATTAATAGTACTAATTAATATTAATTGACTCTCAAATTTTATTACATTAAATCCAAAATTCCCTCATGTTCAAGAATATTATATTAGTATAAAAATGTAACATATAGTCAGAACAAAATGCAGTCGTCTGAAAATTGTGGCTTCTACCATAGATCTTTTAAAAATAAAGGTTCAATTGAAGGCAGATTTCAAAATGCTATAATATATTTTAATTATAATTATTTTTTCTGTTCTTTTATGTATTAAAAAACGTATATCCCCCCTAGTCTCTGGGACAGCTAGCTAATGAATACATTCCCTCAATTCTTATCACAACAGTTGAACAATTCTTATTCAACAATTTAATGCTGAATAAGTAAATGATAAAATGAAAATCATAATTGGATTGGAAATAAACATGGTTCAAGAATAAGTCAGTATAGGGGATATAGAGGAACAATAGAAAATACATGGTACAAATCAAAATATCAATAGAAAAATCCATTTGGTGCTCGGAATACCAAGGGGTCGAAAGGCATTCAGTCATGAAAGAAACAGAGTCCAAATTCAGGTTTTAATGGTGTGAGGCCTTAGTCCTTAAACTGCAGTCATTAATGTTTTGAATTAAATCAGAGGACAGATACGTGGCACCCCAGTTGAATTATAAATTCTTGTTATAAATAATCCAGGGATAAATTGAGTATGCTTTACTTAAATGTGGTAGTGTGACACTAAAAATGGAGAAAAACCTTTTTCTAGAGAATATGAAGTGATCCCGGCATAAAAAGCTACTAAATGTCATTCTCTGTGTTGTAATTTGGATCTTTCTTCTTATGCCTAAGAGAGATGAGTTTACACATTTGTTCATAAATCAGGGATATGAGTCAAACTGAAAAATTATAAACTTACTCATATATGTTCTCCACTTTCATGGTTCTCTATGAAAGAAGTCTAACAGAATTCTAAAATTAACATTTGATTTTATGACATTTTTTAATTTAATACTTTAGCTCTAGGTCAGCAACTTTTTCCATAACAGTACAGACAGGAAATATTTTAGGCTTTTCGGGCCATATAGTCTCTGTCTGCTCAATTCTGCTATGCAGCCGTAGACAATATGTAAATGAATGAGCCTGGCTGTGTTCCAGTGAAACTTTATTTATACGAGAATAGATGACAGGGTGGCTTTGTCCTTCCTGCAGAAGTTTGCAGTGCCCTAGTTTAGCGTGACTGACATTTGAATCACGTCAGTTGGACTACATACATGACGACCCACTGTAGCAGTAATAATAATGGCATTTTTCCTTTTTTTTCTCTTATTTAAGTAAACTAAAAGATTCAGAGAAGAAGAACTTGGAACTGCTATCAGAAATTGAACAGCTGATAAAGGACACTGAAGAGCTTAGATCTGAAAAGGGTATGGGAATGTGTTTTACATCATCAGGACTTAATGTTCCGTTATGAACACGGGAGTCAAGTTACAGTCATGCGTCGCTTAACGACAGGGATCCCTTCTGAGAAAGGTGTCACTAGTTTATTTCATCGTTGTGCGAACGTCACAGGGTGACTCGCACAAACCTAGATGGCATAGTCTACTGCACACCTAGGCCCTGTGGCACTGATCTTAGGAGGTCACGTCATTTATGCAGTTCATTGGTGACCAAAGTGTCATCATGCAGCGCATGACTGGATCGTGTTGGGTGTAGAATTGTTCACATACGCAGTTTTGGCACTCATTTATGCATATGTGTACGTATATGTGATACCCACACACATGTGGTAGACTGGTCTCTGAGTCATTTTGTTTTGCTTATACATTGTTTAAAAGATTTCATAGTAACAGAAGAACTTACTTTGTCGTAAATTTGACTTTTCTCAGTGCCATGGACTATTTTACGAGTAGTATTTTTGTGATTGGAAAAAAATTACTATTTTATGACACACTGACGAAGAATTATTTTGGCATTTCAGTGTCTTCTTCCATGTTTGATTCTTAAATTGCTTGTGCTGTGGGATTTCCCAGAATTTATTTCCATTTTCTTGAAAACGTTACTTGACCATTTTTCCATTAATGTAAAAAGTAACCAGGAGTGCTTGGTAGCTCTCTTACATGAACTTCTTAAACTTTCTTTCCATAATGTGGGCATTAATATTGTGGAGATTTAATAAAAAGAAACTCAGGATGTTATTTTCTTAATGAAGGGATCTCTCATTTGCAGTTATTAGAAATTCGTTTTCCTGACAAAGAGCTTTCCAGAGTGAACACTGAACTAGTTAATGGGCTTTGTGTTATGCTGGCGTGCTTCCCTGTCGTTTCCTGGTTCTGTGACATGGGTGATGTAGAGCTGGGTGGATCTCTGCATCTGCTTTTAAAATTGTGGAGGAAAGAGGGCAATCACATAAAGGAGTTAACGGGAAAAAGCTGTTAAACGTGGTGGAGGCATCATGCTAAAATGAGAAGCAAGCTGAGTTTTCATACGGGAAGAGTAGACGGGAGCTGCGTTATTTAGTGAGTAGAGGAAACAGAATATATAAGACATGGAGGCCCTGTAGCCCGAAAGGCAATTTATATAGAAAAGGGATCGGTGCAGAGTATGGCTCAACTATGACACACCAGATGATGTTGACCACATCATGTATTAGAATAGCTCTAAACCTGGGAAAGAAAAAACTTAAGTTTATCACATTGCCTTATGAAAGCATGTTAACCTGTAGTTTTTTATTTGGATTTTGAACATTGCAGAATAATAAAATTTCACTCTACATTGAACATAATGTACTATGCTACTTAATGTAATGTGATATTTACATAATAAGGGCAAGGATTTTTTCCTGCTTTATTTACTGTTATATCCCTGGTATCTAGACAGGGTTTGGCACATAGTAGGCTCTCAATAAATATTTATTGACTGATTGAATTTCTGAACGTACTGCCTTATCTAGCAACTGTGGTATATTATTGGAGAGTAATATGGAAAGCACACAGAGTAATTGATGTCGGTGCCTAAAGAAATGGAAATCAAAAATGTGTGTTTGGTTGTTTCTGCTTTTTCCTCCCTAGTATTTCTACTTTGAGAATTATTTTGGAAATTATGCATTTAAAGTTAATACCATAGCCAAGAGATATGTGTGAAAGTTTTTTAATTCGTCTGAGAAAAGCTAGGGTTTGGATTCTTCATTCTGTCAATAAACAATGCCCAAACTCAGATAGAGACCTTGACAAAAGTTTTTTTCGTAATTAAATACATTTGTTTTATCACTGCATTATTTTCTTATAAAAGATTATTTATATTAAAGCATACTATATGCTTGATAAGAATCTTTCAAAACAGAAACCTTGCTGCATGATAAATTAGCTTAGAAAAATCAGACATAACCAGGGCCCTATTTTTAAAATTCTCTCAAGTCTACCAAAAGATTTGATGTATTTTTTATGGTGTACTCTACGGGAAAAGAAAGAAATTCAAGAACTCAAGTAAGTCAAGAAACATATATTTCAAAGAGACTGATATAATCTAACTATTAAGTGATATTCCAAGAGACACTAATGTATTTTAGTTTTTTAAAAATGTAGAGTTAATAATGTTGATCAGCTTTAAAATAGGGTAGTTTGTGAATAGCTTTTAAGAGATTCAGACAGGAAAGGTTGTCCATAAAAATTTAGTTTTAATTGTTCTAGTTTTAAAAAAGGTTGCTGCTGTCTTCTAGGTGTAGAGCCCCGAGACTCACAGCATTCTTTCTTGGCATTTTTGAATGCGCCTCCCGATGCTCTGGATCAACTGGAAGTAAGTGTTAAACTTTCCACATCTCCTCTGGGGTCGATTTAAAGTTCGCTTTGTGATTTAAAGTTGACTTGCAATAAAACTGTTTTATCACATCCCACGTGTGAGGATCCCACATAAGAATCTTCTATAAACAGAAACATATTAGGAAAGGAATATGTTCTGCGTTCTTATGGAAACGCTAATCACATTTGTATTTAAGAAAAATCTAAGAAAGGCCTAAATATGAGAGTCATTATAAGATTTAAAAGAAATTTCGTCTCTTCCCCTAAGAAACAGTAAGTGCAGAACAAATCCTAACTTTGAAATAATTTTGAGACTTTTCTTTGTTTTGTGAAGCACAGAGCCACAGTAAAAGCAAGTGAAAGTGTCAGAGCTCACAGCAGGGCAGTGCTGGTTCTAGTTCAAAATCAATTCAGTGTTTTATAAATGTACAAGAAGAATGCTTTTTGTTAAAAGTATTACATACAGTGTATTAGGCAGATTCCATAATAATGTAATAATGAGTGTATGACTCTGTCCTTCATTGGAAAAAAAACAATTTTATAACATAAAGTATATTTTTGTCTCAGAAAATTCGTTAGTGGTTATTTCTTTATTCAGCAAATAACCGTATAGCTCTGTGCAAGGCGTTGTTCTAGGTGCCGGCGATGCGGTGACCCAATAGCCGGATCCCGCCCCCAGTGAGCTCCCTTGAGCGGGGACAGCGAGAAGCGGGGACGCTGCGGCTTACCTTTAGTCGCTCCCTTCGAAAGCGCTTACATTTGCTTTGATTATTACTGATTTGCCATGAGCTTTATTTTACATTTTGAGCACAGTATATGAATTATACTTCATTCCTTTGGGAAAGGGAAAAAGAATCACTCTTTATAAAGTAATTAATGAGTTTCTGAGTTTCTTGAGAAACGATAACAGTGATTGCTTTTCTCATTTATTTATTTGAATTAATGTCATTTGCCTTTCAATTGTTTTACAAAATTTTTGATTTATTATTTGTTATTAAATTGCTTCATCCATATTTTCTATTTTTTTATTGCTGTATTCGTTAAATAGGATTCCTTTTCTTCTTCCTCATCTTCACTGATTGATTTTTTGGATGACGTAAGTCTTTGATTTTCAAACCAATGCATCCTTCAGTAAAAGAGATCAGTGAATTGGTATCAAGAATTTGCCTAGTAATGCAGTCAGTTTTAGAAATATCATGCTTGATAATTTATTTGTGAGCCAAAATTTGCTCTTTTCTTATCTTAAATATAATGAACAGTTTATCATTATTAGACATAATAAAGTAAAAGTATACTTTGAAAAATGCTTTGGCCATCAGAGAAACTCTTTATTTCCATTCTTTGCGACAATTCCGAAGACTGGAATACTTATTGATTATTGTCACTATATAGATATATATATAAATAATTGCTCATTTTTATTTTTCTTGGTGATTTCTATTTCACATTTCCCCTTTTTATGTACTTTGCTATTTAATGTCTATGTTAGTTGAAAGTAAACCTCTGGTGGTATAATCAGAAAAAGTGACATGTTTTATTAAATCTTCCAGTAGATTTTATCGTGACACAATAATTGAGTACAAATCAACTTTTATTGCTGACAGCATTTCTCTTCTAATGTGGAAAGTAATTTTAGTTAACATATGCACTATATGCACTATAAATTGACTGCATTATCATTTTTTCTCCTAAATTAATTCTATAGATTTAATAATTTAGACGTTCCTAATGTATATTGTTCATTTCCTTTCCAGAAATACCTGACAAATACATTCTGTCTGTTCCACTTTAAATGGCACAATAATTCTTGTTGTAAAGCATTTTATTATACTGTTGAACATTCAGTCTTTCCAGAAATTGGGAAATAAAATAGGTTCAAATGCAAATATTGTGCATAGAACTGTTTTTTAAACCAGGGAAAATTCTTTAAACGTTTTATTTTTTGTGTTTTGTTAAATATAATTCTTATATTCAGAGGAGTATTTAGCGTAATTTTCAACTAAGGGAAACCTTGATCTAGATTTTTAAAATTATTTTAAAGAGTTTTTTATATCTTTTAAATATTTATACCAAGGTGTGCACCTTTTCATTCTAAATGGAAACCATTTTATTGTTCTCGAGACAAATAATTATTTAAATAGTTAATTCTACAGTATGATAAAAAAGAACTCTCTTGATGTACGATAGTGTTTCATTTTACACTCTGCTGCATATTTCACTACACTAACGTACTCCACATGGGGTTTTGATACAGATACTTTCCAGCTTAAAAGCAATGGGAAGGAAGTTGGAATAAATTAGTTGTTCTTTTCGCCATTTTCATTTTCATTTTTCTTTCTAACAAACTCTTCTCTACATCCCCTTTTCTCCCACAAAACTCTTTGAATGTACAACGTAGGAATAGTATGTGTTTTGGGGGATAGGTTAACTCTTCCCAGGAGAAGAGCTCGCGGGAATGCACGCCTCAGCCCGCTCCCTTCTCATCTCAGCTCACACATGCTGTCTTCTAACGCCACCGCCCAGCGTAGCGACTGTTTCCCGCACTGACTTTCCTCCGGGAGCACCCTTCGTTAGGTTCGCCCACTGTCACTCAGCATGAACTCTGATCAATAGACAACTAAATTTTAAAGCAGCACAAAGGAACTCCTAATGTAAAGTGAAAAGGAGTTGAGTTCACAAAGACTGCTGACTCTTTAAGATTCAGGCTCCAGGTTTTAAAAGGCAAGATTTTTCCCTCGTTTGCTTCCTAAATTCTCTTGCCCAGTTTATTGGTTATATGCATAAGTTGACTCAGTCCTGCCTCTACCACTTTGTCGGTGTATGATTTGGAGCAAGTTATCTAACCTTTCTTTACCCCAGTTTGCTCATCAGACAAGCAGGAATAATAGTTCTAATCTCATAAGATTGTTTGAGAATTCAAAGAAACAATGTATGTAATGCCCTCGATAAATATCAGTTATTGTTTCCTTACTCTTAATAGGCCAGGTCCCTCCCTTCCTGTGTTCTCTTTAGCTTTCGTTCTTGATGTGAATTCAGTTTCATTTAAATGCTTTCTTAGCTCTTCATTGCTCAGCGTTCCACGCACTGCCAATATGAATCACTGTACTTGCCTCCTCCTGCCTTGTCGAATCACATTGCTATTGGAAAATTATTATTACCTATCACGGCAAAGGCCAGCAGTCAGCTCCCATTTAAAAAAAATTTGTATTCTTACTTCATATTTTATATCGTAAACTTCTTGTTTCTCTTTATAGTTTGTAACTACGACCCTCCTTCCCAGAGTTATCATTCATTTCATCATCAAAGTCATAGTAGAATATGTTTTGAATAATAGTATTCGATCTTTGGCGTGCTTGGGTTCAGCATCCAAGATATTTAGTATAAAACTCAAGTTATATGGCTTCCTTGCTCTTAGGCATTTGGATTCTTAAGGAATAAAACAAATCTTGATTGTTCTTTGTGCTAAAACTGGTTAGATTGTTGTGTATGATGCTTACAATATGTGACTGCCCTCTGTCCTAAGTAGACTGTTACTAACCCATAGAACACATCTTCTGGTCTTTCTTTTCTGTTTGCTATCTCCTTACTGTAGAAAAGAAAAAGATTATGTTAAAGACCTAAAATTTGAATTGCAGGTGGAACTTGTAGGTATGGGAGGGATTGAGGCTAGTATTAAGCAAAATCGCAGAAATCACATTTTCTTTGGTGTCCACACATCTGTGGCCTTCTCCATCTGCCCCCTGTAGCCTGTGCCTCATCCTGCCCTCTGCTTCTGCAGAGCTTTACCACCAGTGCCTCCCTCCTCAAAATTACCTTCTACTTTTTTCCTTAACCTCCCACACAGGCTTATTAAAACTGTAATTCCTTTACTTAACACAGTTCACATAATCACTCTCTCACCTTGATTGTTTTCTCAGTAGGTTTTGCCTGTTAATTCAAAATTCAAGTGAATGCCAGGATTTGAGGCCATATGAGAAGACGTTTGGAGCAAGATGTTTTCCTTTTAAGTCACACTGTTTAGACAACTCTTTCTATGTGTGAGAGGAACCTTGACGGAAGAGAAGGAATACATGTAACACCAGTCCCTTCCTTCCCTCTGATTCAGGCAAAGCAGAATACATTCTCAAGCACTCTGTCTGTAACTCAGGAGAACTTGGGCATTTGGGCTTTTCTACAGGTAGAATCATAGACTTTTGAAGGAGCAAATAACTTGATAAAATATTTTGTCCAGTGGTTTTAGCCATTATGTATCACAAGATGCTCCCGTTAGTAAGAGTGACTTTTTAGGATTTTTCAATCCTTAAGGGAATAGGGAAGTAGTGATAGGTTATGTATGACATTCTTTAAGGAAGATAAAGGGGTTTTTAGTTAATTTTAAGAAAAATTGAGACCATTTTGCTAAGTGGTCTCTTGGGTAAGGCATTCCCACATGAAGTATTAAGACAGCAGTAGAGCAGACACCAGGAACCCTTCTGCTCTAGAAATTATTTCCTCTTCTACCCTCACCCCTTCTCTCAACCCTGCATTCCCAATCCTGGACTTCCCATGATTACTCTATATTAGGCCCAGCCTCTTCCTCCAGGTAACAGATGGGGTGAGGGCAAATGAGTCTTAGCCACATGGGTTTCCCCCATCTGTGCCCATCATCCCAGTGGTGACAGATCCCAGGATCATCAGACCAAGCTACAGGAACTTCCTGTTCTGTTCAGTTCATTCTCTTGTTTTCAAATGAACCCCAAAAATGCTTGGCTTGACTGTATTAAAGGTAATACTAATTGTAGCCATATAAATGAACTACTTGCTCTTTATTTTTGATAAACATATTGTCACATATTAAATATATACCAGGTAAGTTTTGAATTTTACTAAATTACAATTCTACACTCTGTTCCTTTAGGCCAAGTTCACAAAAATGGAACTTGCCCATTTACATGGCAAATGAGAATGTACCAACTTGCTTTTTGGAGGTTGTCTTACTGTAGTGTACTGAGGAAAGAG